CGGGAGCGGCTCTGCGCCGGCCCGCTGGGGGGCGCCCCCCTGTCCGGGCGGGGAAAGGGGGTGGGAGGGGGCGCTCCTTCCGTGCCGTTGCCAGCTCCCGGCGGGGAGCTCCCTGGAGCCCGGGAAGGAAGGAGAGGCCCCTTCGTCCGTCGAGGGGCGCCCACCGCCCGAAGCCTCCGTGTTCTCCAGGCTGGGCGGATCTCCGGCGGCAGCGACACCCCCCGGGAGGCTGAGGGCGCACCAGAAACCCTCGGAAGAACTCGACCGGGCGCCAGAGAGACTGCAGACTGACGACCCCCCCGGACCCGTTCCAGAGAAGCGAGGGCCTGGCCTGGCGCCCCCTTTCCTGGCTCATCCTGCAGCACCATGATGGTGGCGACAGATCCCTGGGAATTCCATCCCGCGGTGCGAAGCGTGGGGACGGGGATCGGCCGACCCGTCGGACATGCTGCTGCCTGCCGTGCTCCTGTGTGGACAGGGGGCCACCTCCCCAACGCTGCCCCGTTTTCTGCCACCAGGAAACCATGTCCACATGGCTCACCCCTGCCTCCCTGTGGGTCTTTGTCAGAACCTCTTATACTTTTATTGCAGACCTACAGATGCAGTAACATCAGCACTGTTGAGAATGGCAGCGGCCCCATGGGCATCATAGGATATAGGGTATTCCTATGCACACACACACACACACACACTGGCCAATTAGGCACCAGCTTGGAGACCCTTAGGTAGCTAAAGCTGAGAACCAACACTCTCCCACGGAGCCTAAGAGAAACCTAGACCATACAACTCCCTCCTGCACATCTGTATAGATAACCATTTCGGCCCAAAGCAGAAAAAGCACAGCAAGGCATGCAGTCGCAATTAACCGGACACAGACTGAGCTCCCCAACCCCCATGGCAGCCTAGCTGACAGTCTTGAGCTTTGCCCTCACAGTGCTTAAACTAAGAGTGTGCACTTGGATGCATCTAGTGTCTTCCTTGACTGCACTGCAAAAGAATCAAAAAGCAAAATGCCTTTCAGGGGAGCTTGTTCACTATTACTACCATTAACATTGATGAATCCCAGCTGAACTATGGAAAACCGTTTGGAATCCATTAATTTACGAATAAAGGTAGGAGTCTGGGTACAGATGTCAGGAGTCTGGTTGAAGATGCATGCACATGCACACACCGTTCCCCTACCCAATTCCAATAGACAAAAGGAGTTTTAAAAAATGCAACTGCTAGGGTTTTGGGGGGTCCTTATCTGCAAGTAAAGATGTAACTACCTCATCTATATATATAAAAGAAAGTTCTCTCACTGTAAAATCAACACCCAGGCCAAACACCATATTCGGGGAGAGTGCTCCTACCATGGCATAGGTGCTCACTAAGAAGGGATTTTTTAGAAATTCGACCCCTAAAGGTAGAATGTGCTCCCCCCATTGATTGCTATGAGGCTGCCAGGCTGCTGCCTACTTGCACCCCCCACTCTCTGATTGGTCAGCTGCAGAGCTCAGTGTTCAGAGATTAAAAAAAGAACAGTTACAGCAGACTGTAGAGAGCTAGTGACAGTTCAGGAAATCCGGAATGGCCAACAACCACCTGTGAGGTGCAGCAGTGCTGCTGGCCCAGCCTCCCTATGGCTTCAAACACCTCCCTCACCTCCTAGACCTGACAGGTGGTTGTCTGTCAGGTGCAGCAGCAGTTGCAGGGTGCGTAAAGCCACCAGGGAGCCCCCCCCCGCAGTAACGCCTTAGTGATCCTGCCAGCCCCGCCTCCACAGTGGCTTCTAATACTCTTCTCCTCTCCCCCTCCTACACTGGACAGGCAGCTGCCTGTCAGGTGTAGGAGAGGAGGTGGGATGCTTACAGCCATCCGGGAGGTTTGCTTAGTGGGATTACCTTAGTGCTGCTACTGGCCCAGCTTCCCTGATACCTTTAAACACACTTACCCCAACACCAGACAGGCGGGTGTACTTTATCAGGTTCATATGAACTTGCTTAGTATCTGATTGCTCAGATGGTGTTTTGAATACGTAGTTATGTCCCACTTCTTAAATGTAACATAAATGAGAGGCAATTTGGGGGGGGGCATGCCCTCCCCCCAATTCAATGCCCAGGCCAAACACCTGCACAAAGAAACCCAAAATAAGGGGAGTGCATTCCTACCATGACGTCAACCCTCCCACAAAGAGATTTCTGAGAAACATGACCCCTAAGGGGATAAAAAAGGGGCAAAATGTATTCCTCCAATTGTTTTCCATGCGCCTGGAAACTCAATACAAAATACTAAAATATGTACACTCAAAAACACTACAAACAACTAACTGAATTTTCTAAAACATAGTTAAGCAAGAAAGAACACATGAAACATATCACAGGTACAACCCAACACAATATAAATATAACCAGTATAATACCAATGGTATTAGTAACTTTATGACCTAAGTAAGATTGACATTCAAAATTTTACAGCATAAGCCACAATCTATATTAATTATTTCTGGGTAAAAATTTATTTACACTCAAATAATCTACTACAGGGGACCAGACTTCCTCAAACGACTTCTTATCTGCAGAATTAACAGACACAACAAAAAATGGATTATGTACAATTTTATCCATTAAACAAATTTCCAAAATTTTCACTTGCTATTTTTCTACTGTAGGACCTCTAGGATCTTTCCCTCCTGATGCAATAACTAAATGGTCCGCAGCTATCAATTTAGAAATGAGCAACTTAATATACTTTGGTATGTTTATCTCTCTCCATATATCGAATAAACACAATTGTATTGATTGTGGAGGCTTAAAATTAGTTATTGTATATATAGCTTCTAACACCTGAGTCCAAAATAACTTAATTTGGGGGCATGTCCACCAAAGATGTATTGGAGTGTTTCCTACACAGAGGACTAAGGCCAGATTTAATTTTAGCTATTTAAGAGGGACAAAAGTACCAATTTGCTATTAATTTATAATATTGCATCCGAATAGAGTGTATTGATTTATATGAGGGGAGTTCCAAGTATTATCCCAGTCCTCATCGGACAAGGTATTAGGAATTTCTTTTGTCCACATTTGTGTATATGAAGGGGGTTTTAAATACTGAGAATTCAATTACATTTTATATATTCTCAAGAGAAGACACTTTGATGTCTGTAAGGGTTTTTGGAGCAAATCTTCAAATTCTGTAAGTTGCCTACAGACCTTTAGATGTTTGGAATACCATGTCATAACCTCTCTTAATTGAAAAATTGAAACTATATTGATTGTTGTTTTATTTATTTTTTAATCTATTTCTTGTTTTGTCAATATGATGGTTAGACAGTGTCATAGACATTGGTTAGGGTCACTCCTTATCTGGCCCCAGTGCGTGGGGGGGGGGTTTGCAGTGTTTCTGGGGCTCCATCCAGGGACCTAGAAACACTAAGACTGCCCCTCTAAGACAAAACTTTGGTGGCTTTGGTTTGTCAGTAGGGTGATATGTGGAGTGAAAAAAGCTATTTTTGCTGAAATTCTGTCTTTTATTCAAGATACCAAAGTCCTGTCCTCCTTTACATCTGGTTATCCTGGCATAGCATACACAGCATACTAACATTCTTTACTTGACATGAAAACCATTGTTTATTTCAAGGGGGCCATGCTCAGCAGGGATGTACTTTGCTTTTGTTATTTGTAGATACCTGTTTTAAGCACCATTGTTTTGATTGGCTGCCATTCATGGGCAATATATGGTTTATTATATTCTATAATGAGTAAAGACAGAAGTGCATCAGCATGCACCAGCATTTCAATGAAAAAGCATACTTCAGAAATCTGTGACCTCAGAGCTGTAGTAATGCCAAAACTTGAACAAATTGGTAAACACAGTCTTGATAGAGGAGTGTTAGAACATGAGACACCTGCTGGATCAGAAGATAGTCCATTTATTTATTATTTCTATTTCTATCCCGCCTTGCCGGGCACACTGGCTCAAGGCGGCTAACAGAGTTAAAATAATGTAAACAATACAGAGTTACAATGATTAATAAATACAGTACCAAGTTAAAACTGCAACAGTTTACAAGTAAAATCGACAGATGGTGGCAATAATCCAAATCACACCCAATGATAGCGAGGTCTCAAGCCAGAAGATGTTCCAGGGCACATTCATCTATAAAGTACTCTTTATTGATGGAATCAAAGGCTTTTTTCATATCTACACTTAAGATTAGTGATTCTAAGTTTGTGATCTTACCATGATTAATAATATTCAACGTCCATCTGGTATTATCTGCTATATTTCTATTGGGCATAAAGCCTGTCTGGTCTTGATGTATATATTTACTAATCATAGATTTCAGCCTACGAGCTAAAATAGTTATAAAAATTTTATTGTCCTGATTGATGAGAGCAATTGGTCTATATGAAGATGGTTGGGATTCATCCTTTCCCTCTTTAACAATAGGAACAATAGTAGTATAAGACCATGAAGGGAGTATTTCTCCCCAAGACATAGTATGATTACAGCTTTTAGTGAAATAAGGTATCAAAATTTCTTGGAATGATTTATAAAATTCAGCTTGATATCCATCATTCCCTGGGGCTGAATTAGTTTTAAGATTTTTTATTATTTCAGCTACCTCTTCTTCCATTATAGGTTGATTCAACATAGCTCTATCAGCTTCATCAAAATGATGTATTAAATCTGGCTGATTAAGAAAATGATCTAAAACAGGTGTATCAATGGTCCCTTTAGCATACAATGTTGAATAGTAACCAGCCAATAGATTGGCTATGTCTTTTGACTTTGTTAAAGTAGCCCCTTCTAAATTAGTCATAGAATCAATTCCTCTGGATTTTTGAATGTTTTGTGTTTTTCATTTTAGTAATCTTAAGGCCTTGTTGGATCCCTGCCAATATCATTGTTTTATATAAATTAAAATTTTTGAATCTGGTCAGTTTCCATCAACTCTAATATTTTACGCTCAGATTGTAATTGTTTGTATATTGTTTTACAACAAGTTTTAATATTTAATATTTTTTACCAATTTATTTTTAGTTTTTTCGAGCTACCAAATAGGCAATTATTTTCCCTCTTAAAAAGGGTTTCCATGTGTCCTATAAAACAAAAGGTGACATCTCAGTGGTATCATTGATTTCAAAATAAAATCTTAATAATTCTTTTGCTATCGTACTTTTAATGTCATCGTTAAGAAAGGATTTATTGAATTTCCATAACCCCTCAGATTTATCCAACTCCTTAAGTGACAGATTACAATGAACCCAGGAATGATCTGTGAGCAGCTTTGGCCCTATTTCTGCAGAAATTGAAGTTTCTTTTAAAGTTGGAGATGTCAAGACAACATCTATTCTTTAGCTTACCTTCTGAGTATGAGAATAGAAGGTATAATCCCGAGCAGATGGATATAAAAACCACCAGCTATCTATTAAATCATGGGATTGCAGTATTTTGGCTATCTCAGTATTCTTTAACTTATTTTTGGCCAATTTTGGGGGGATTTGAGATTTATTCTTCGTTATATCTAAAACTAAATCTAAGTCGACACCAATTATTGTTTAACCTTCCTTAAAATGAGTCCACTTGCTTAATGTTACCTCCAAAAAAGACTCTTGGTTTGCATTGAGGGCATAGATTACACCCAATGTTACTTTACAAGATCCAATCCAGCCTTTAACAAATATATACCTGCCAGCGTCATCTTTTTCAGTGGCTTCGTATTTAAAGCCTAGTCTTGAGGAAATAAGAATGGCTACTCCTCTGGATTTAGAGGAGCCTGTAGACTGATATTGTAGTGGATATAACTTTGATTTAATAATGGCTTTACCTCAGAACTTTGATGGATTTCTTGCAAAAAATTATATCAGATTTTTCTGTCTTAAAGTGTGCCAAAAATGAGATCTTTTAATTTCTGTATTTATACCTTTGATATTAACAGTAGTTACCCTAATTTGTTGACCCAGTCCTGCTGATAGTCCATAGTCCAAAAAGTAAAAAAAAACCCCAATATATCAACTCAGTGATCAAGCCTTAGAAACACTCAATTGCATATTGAGAAGAAAGAAGAGGAAAAAGAAAAAAGGAAAAGAAAAAACTAGATATGAAACAAAAATAAGAAGAAGGCGGGAGAGAGACAAGTGAAGAGGAAAAAAACAAAAAAAAGGAAGTGGAAGAAAGGTGGGATAAGAGAATTGTATGAGTCAAAAATCAGCTTACAAACTATATGCAAAACTTGTCCTCCTATCTTCCTTCCTCTACCACTGTTAGATGATGATACCAGATGTAAGATTATGAAGAAAAAACCTTTATTGTTGACTAACAGTGGACGACTCAAAACTGGAAGCCTCCCTAGTGGGAAAAAAACCCCAAAGGAGGCACACAGTAAAAACTGTGTATTTGAGTAGAGCCTGTTGAGAACTGCCAAGGAACACCCCCCCCCAATTGATGTAACAAATGCATTAGTTTACCATAGTCCACCAAAGTGGCAAAACATTATTTAAACTAATAAAATTAACTTTATATATGGATTTAAAAGGTATCTCAGTTCAATTCATTTTATCAGGAAAAGTGGCCACAAATCGCTTCCTCTTCTTTAGATTACCAGCTGACTCTACTTCCAGTTCTTCATTCTTTTGGATTGCCTGCAAAAGCAGATTCCCTTTTCATTGTCAAAAGCTGAATGTAATTTATCTTTATGGTAGACTGCCAATCTTCCGCAGGAAAGCCATGCAGAATGTTGGCCTCTCTCAAGGCTTTGGCCGTCTCTTTAAGATCTCTACGTCTCTGGAGTGCCTCCGCTGGTATATCAGGGAAAACCCAAATAGAATCATGGTGGAGAGCCAAAAAGCCCTTTTGTCTTGCTAGTCTCAATATATCTCTCCTAATATTTCTGTCTCCAAACATGGCAATTACATCTCTCGATGTTTTCCTTTTGGGGTTAGCAGCCCCACCTTTGCAAGCTCTAAAAGCAGAAGAGATAAAAGAGGGCACCTTCTCCTTTAAATGCAACAATGGAGAAAGCCAATCCATAAAATAACCTGGTAATTCTTCTGGTAAACAAATGTCTTCAGGTATCGCACGAAATTTTAAATTTCCTCCCCTGTCAGCCGAAGCCAGTTGAATCAGTTTATCTTGGTGCTGTTGTATTGTAACTTTCAAAGACTGAATTTCACCAGCATTTTGGATTGCCATTTCTTTCGCTTTCTGAGCATTGCTCCTTGCAAGAACGAGGTTTGATGTAATCTCTTGCCGTTGGTTTGAGATTGGAGTAAACATCACAGCAGAGGGGTGGAGATATCAGCATTGATAATGAGACAGGAAACCTAGGTCTCAATTTGGTACAGGAGGATTCAGTCCAGGAGGATGCAAAGAATAAATGGCAATAAGTCTGAAGAAGTGAGCAATGACTCACAAAAGCACATACCCTACCACAATTTTGTTAGTCTTTAACGGTGCTACTGGACTCTTACTCTTTCTACTACTATTAGAAACCACAACATTCGAACTTCCGGTCTGTGACCCGTTGCCATCGGACAGTTCCCGGGGAGCTCCCGGAGAACCGCCGAACCTCCTGGTCTTAGAGGGGGAACCGAGGCTTTGGACCTCCCATAGAGTCTTCCCGGAGAGAGACTCTTGGCAGGGGGCTTGAATTGGGGGCTCCTGCAGGTGGCGGCTCATGAGTAGACCCTAGATTGCCCCAACGCAAAGATCAAAGAGGGACCGTTTATGGCAGCCATTAAGCAGCTAGACATGATCGGCCATTTCTTGGAGCTGCACTTCAACTAAAGAATCTTTTCTTGAAACTTCTTCATCTGTGCACTGTGAGTAACAAAATGACTCTGAATAATCTTTGGTCTTCCATCTTTGCTGTTTTGGATTACGAGACTGGTCCATTTAAAAGTTAAAGACCTGGGCGAAAAGGGAAGGGTGGAAGAGTATTCCCCCCCCCATCCTGGAAAAAACGGCTGGGAAGTGCATCCCAGGCTTTCTTCCCTTCCTACTGATGTTACCAATTTAAGGACTTGAAGGGTTGTTATTCTAGTATTTTGGAGGTGTGGAACTCTTTAAAAAAAGCCAATAAGATTGAAAGTGGGGTTGTGTTTTGAAGACTTTGAGGCTGGTATAAGAGAACTGCAGTATTGTTTTGGCAGTTGCTGGGAAAATTTGGATTTGGACAGTTTTTATTTTCATTTTTTGGCTACTCTCTTATTTGGAATATGCTTTATGCTGTTTTTATCTGTTTTAACTTTGGCACTTGTGCCTCGCTGTTAGCCACCCTGAGCCTTTGGGGAGGGTGGGATATAAATCCAAAAATAAATAAATAATAAATAAAATAAATAAACCAGTCCACTGTTACCCCAGCCATGAAGATCAAATCGAGCGTGTGCCCGGCCCAATGAGTGGGGGACGTTACAAGCTGGTAGAGTCCCAGCGCCGCCATGGACGACACCAGGTCCGCCACCTGACTGGACACCACATCATCAGCATGGACGTTGAAGTCACCCAACACAATCAGCATGGACGTTGAAGTCACCCAACACAATCAGCATGGACGTTGAAGTCACCCAACACAATCAGCCTAGGGTGCTCTGACACCCAGGCTGATACGGCCTCCATCAGGGCCGGTAGGCTATCAGCCAGCGCATTAGGCGGTCGGTACACCAGCCAAATCGCCACACTCTCCCCGGCCTCCAGTATCAGACCAGCACACTCAAGGCCCATGAACTCCATTGGTGGGAGCGCTCTGAAGGAGTAATCCTCCTGAATGAAAGACACTCCTCCTCCCCACCCCTTTGTCCGTGATTGGTGAAGGACCGAGAACCCCGGTGGGGTAAGCTGGGCGAGACCTACTGTCTCTCCGTCCCGCACCCATGTCTTGGTCACGCAAGCCAGATCTACATGCTGTTCTATCAGGTAGTCCCGAAGAACCATGATCTTATTGTTTATAGATCTGGCATTGCACAACACCAATGTCGGAGAGGGGTTATCCATCCTAGCCCCCCCCCCCGCCAACATCCTTCGGGATGGGTCGCAGGCTGGAAGGGTGCTGAGCCGTCCCGTTTCTCCGCATCCTTCCCTTTACTTCCTGCCTGGACCCACTGCTATACTTTCCCCTTCCCAGGAGCACCGGAATCTGAATAGAATGAACTCTGCATATGCAAGGAGGAACAAGGTACCCAGAGAGATCCATGTAAAATGTTATAAAAAGCCCATGAGAGACACGATTTTGAGAACTTCAAGTGAGAAGCCAGTTCAAATACAAGGGACATAAATTAAAATTTTAAAAGAAATACCATGGAGAGTGACTTACAAATCTTTTAAGGAAAAATGGGATAACTTATAGATGGCTGCTTCTGGAAGGAGTCCTCTTTACCTATGATATTAGAAGGCACAGAATAAACTCAACATTTAAAGTGGAGGACTTCCTACAGACATATGGAGAAGAATTGGGAGCCCAAGAAGATGAAGCAGGCTGAAAAGAGTCAGATGAAGAAGAATCACAGGAACAAGAAGCTTTGGGATCAACAGCGGCAATGGGAAAGAAATACTCTAAAGCAATACCACTTCAAGTTGTTATGAGATTACAAGACAAGAAAAAAATGGGATCCGAAACAGAAGGTAAAGATGGATAGAAAGAAACTGAAAATAATCTCTAAATGAACCAATATCTTTTGCTGAAATGGTTGAAGCAATTAAAAACCAAAAGAAAAAGAAAACACCTGGACCAGATGAGTTATTTGCAGAAAAACATTTGAAGATCAAATTGCTTTACCTCTGAAGAATACTATTCAGATGTCAACACTGGAATTTTTTGGGAAAAAAATAACATCCTTGGTAAGACATTTATTTTAATCACATATATTCTTCCCAAAAGTGACAATTCTAGCTTGTCCCATCTTAAAAAATTCTTTTTAACTTTTCCAAGTTCTAACATAATTACTTTGAAATAACATGGAGGAATTTCAGACAGACGATATAATCCGGAAGAGGAACGGTTCCCAAACAGTTTCTGGTCTGTCATTTCAGACAGAACCGTTTTAGAACTGGTTCCCTACAGGAATATATTTGTAATTTCAGACAGAAACACTTCTGTCCCATTTAGGAAACGGGGCTGAAGCGTTTTATCTGTCAACCGCTTCCAAGTAGTCTTCAGTTTCTTCTCCGGGTTCCGATGCGCTTTTCCCCCACTGTGGCCGATCTCCGGCTTTTTTTGAACGTTCACGTTATAGCGCTATAACGGAACAGCAATATATCAACGCCATTGGAATGCCTGGAGTATTTTGTTATAGTGCTATAGCGCTATAAAGTGAATGTTAAAAAAACCAGCCAGAGTTCTCCCGCATGGGCGAAAAACGAGGGGGGGGGCGACAGGGGGGGGAACGGTGCAGTCTGAAATGGCAAACGGCTTCAGATCCAGCTCTTTACTGGAAGGGGGAAGCCAGGTGTGAAATGGCAGCCCTATAATGACGGATCAAAAACGGGTTAAAAAGGGTAATGTGAAATTCCTCATAGAGTACATATTTGTAAACATAATACCCAAATATTTCAATGTGTTCAGCCCTAAACCCAGTTTTGTTCATGGATTCTGTTTGTTCTTGTGTTCTCATATTTTCCCCCCCTCCATGGAGATGGATGCTGGTGGGGCAGGCCTGTTGCTCTGAAGCAGCAGAACAAAGTCTGAGACGGGGGGGGCGTTAAGACCCACAGGGTTTTATTTCCGCAGGCCGAACACCGGGGTCTTGTCGCCAAGGCTGGAAGGGGGCGGAGACGGCTGCTGCGGAGACCTGGATGATGACCGAATACCGGCGTGGCCCCCGAATGGAGCGCCTCGGCCCTGGGCCCTGCCGGGGAGAGACATGAAGGCCCC